AAGCTTTAGTGGGACATGAGACCTCTATGAGCATGAACGTCATTTATCCTGAGATCTTTAATGCTTATTACCTGCTTTCTAATGCTTTATCCAGTTTAAAGTATCTCCCTACAGTCAGATTCTTTACTTGACAAGCAGTTTCCTTATGTAAGACATGTCAAGTGCTTGATGCATTTCTTTTGTTACAAAGTTCAAAACATAACTTGCATACTTGTTAATGATGTAAATTTACTCTTGCAGGATTGTACAGGAGTCACCTGTACAATCCTGCAAGAGTAAATTTACATCATTAACAATTAGTAGTACTGCTGTCATTTTTGAAGGTAAATTTTAAAATTATTCTTCCAATATTGACCTTGTTAGGAATTAAAGGTTTATTAATATATCTGTGAAGCTCTAAATGTAGCTGGATGGGAATATCTAAGTGGGAAAATAAATTGTATAAGGTCATCTTAGCAGAAGACACAACTAGAATAATAAAATTAGGAAATGAGGTACAGGAAAACCATTTTTTTATCTTGAATTTGTATGCATATATTGTGCAGGTCTTCTAGCAAAACTGCCTGAATTTTTGCCTTGGAACACTGGAACGATAAAGCTCTTTTTTATCTCAAAGAGGGTCTGTTGTGCCTTGCCTTGGAATATTATCAGTGTTACGCAAGCTGCTAATAACATTTAGTGTTTTATAGCAGCTTCTTTCTAAGTGAATCTGCATGGGGAGTGAGTACACACTGCACTGTAGTATTCTGACATTTACATTTTAAAGCCATTTCTGAAAATGAAGCCTCAAAACATCCCTATCAATTGTTTCCAAAGTCTCTCTCTCTTTAATGTCAGCTATGTCTTTCCATGTCAGCTATGGCCTGTATTAATTTCTCTACTGACCATCAAAGCTGTTAGAGAATTGCTTGGGAAAAGCAAATGTAGCTCAGATCTTTGGGTGCAGCTTGCAACTACAGGTCTCTGTGAACAGGACAAAAGCAGATCTACCAAGAAGCCATTTTTTGCCTCTGAAAAAGTGTGACTTTTCAAAGTGACTGTCACAAAAGGACTGGGATTGCCAGTGGAGATGCGGTCAACATGCAGTGGCGGGGCAGCATCTACACTGCTTTTACAGTGGAGGACAGAGCCTGCCTGGTCTGGTGTAAGGCCTAATGGAGCCAAGTCAGCCCACCAAAATCTGGTAGCAAATTTGAGGTGGCAGGACAGAGGAGGTTCAAGCAGAGTCTGCAGCACACATCATGCTGCCACAAAGCTTCTCATCTGCTGCGACCAGAGCAACTGGAATGCTGCTACCAGATTTATTGTGTCATCAGAATGCAAGAAGTACTTTGAGCTGGAAATACTTTTAAGTTCTTTTGTACATATAAAAATAAACCCAAATTATATCAGGTGATCAAAGCATATTTTAAAGCTGGTTTACCCACAGCATGACCCAGTGAAGCCATTTTCACTGTTCCCTGCAGGTGGAGCAGTATGTTGGTGAAATTAAAGGTGGCCTGAGACCAACCATGAAGCTCACAGTCATAGGCATGGTACACTCCAAACCCAAGAGGTAGGTGAAGGGACTGCTGGGGGCTTCACCCTGTTACACATGCTCCTACCTGTCTTCTAAATTCAGACACTTTCTTGGAGGTATGTGCTCTTTGAAGGAAGAAAATCAAACAAATTAACAATTTATGGTCTTATTTAACTTTCCTGCATTCAGGCTAAGATTACAAGATCAGGGAGGAGTTCACTTTTTGGCCTTTCTGACTGCCCTGACAAGATTTTCCACTCCTTCCCCTTGTCTAATGTGAACTGGAAGGAACACAAAAGTTGTATTTCTCCTTCAGAAAGAGGTGCAATTCTCAACCTGAATCTTGGTTGTCTGTGGGGGGGGGGTTGGAATCAACACAATTTAAAACCCAGTTTTGGCACAGGAGGTAGAGGTTCTTTGCTGTCTTTTATCTGGATAACAGCAACTATGCTCATCATTACACTGTTTTTGTATCTACAGCTATCGGCTCCACTGCTTCCACTGGTGAAGAGTATGCCATAACCTCTTTCAGGACACAAATGAGTACATGTTGAAGGGTTTGATTTCAGCCAAGACAGAGGGAAAGCAGCATCAGAAATTCCTAGCATTCTACTGGATACTGGGGCAGGAAAAAAAAGACCAGCCCGGTCTCATTCCTTTCTCCAGCTTCTAAGCCTGTAGAAGTCCTGTGTTTTAGTCTGACATGGAAACAACAGCTGTCTCTAGTCTCTATAAGCATCTGCCATGTTCACCACGTCCTTTCATATTTCTGAAAGTTCCAGTCATTTAATAGATCTTTTTTCAGCTTTTCAGTGACTCTGCTCTGTGATCCAGTGGATGCCAACAAAGATGTTGGGCTGTTATTCACAGTTAACTTCAGTGAGAAATCCATCACTCGAAATGCACGAATTGCTGGGAAATGGGGAAGAGAAGAGAAGACTATTCCCTACTTTCCATTTACAGCAGGTGACACGTTCAAGGTAATTTTTCAGATACTATGAATGGGAAGAGAAAAGGAGGGGAGAAAAGCTGGAGGCTATGTATATGGCCACAAACAGCCAGCCACTGACATTGGCAGGTTAACTAGTCTAGTATGGCACAGACAGCAACAGTTCAAGCCCTGATGGGAAAGAGGCATCCCTTTCCCTAATCACAGTTAGAGTACCCACTGGATCTTCGCAGTATCATCTCAGGAGAGGGTAGGTTATTTATTAGGGGCGTTTCAGAAGAACTGGTAGACTTTGTGCTTTGCTATCCATAACATTTTGTTCTAAGTCCATCCTGCTGAAATCAGCCCTGCTGCTGATCTCTAACACGCTTCCCTGTCCTTTTCCACTGCAGATGGAGCTCTTATGTGAACACCAGCAAATACGAGTCTTGCTTGATGGACGGCAGCTCTGTGACTTCACTCACCGTGTTCAGCCTCTGAACTTGGTGAAAGCTTTGCGGATCTCAGGGGACATCAAGCTTACCAAAGTGGCTTGAAAAAAGGAGACCAGGATATCACCAGAGGACAGAGGAAAATGTACTTTCTCTTGCCTCAGACATGTTTTGTCTTTTTCCCCTGGCTGATTCTGGAGAGCAGGAACTGTATCTTTTTAATTCATTGATGTGTTTGAGATACACACTTTTTTTCCCCCCATACATACTCACAGCAACTGCAGAGCTATGGCTGGTCTGAATAAATCTCAAAGCCTTTGCTGAGAAACACTTCTGGCTGAAACACTCCCAAACTGCAAGATTTATGATATTATGCAGTATCTCACATCCTTATGGCTCCTTACTCCCTCAGGCATGCCAGGAGGCAGAGCTCAGTCCTCTGTGGTGGGTGGCTGTTGTGACTAGAACTGGGCATTATGCAGGTGGTGGGTCTGAGAAAAGACAAGTAGGAGATTTTCTTATAAATGAATTAGGGAGTCTGATGGGCCCCAGCAAGGCTCATGTTATCAGGAGGGAATTGCTTTTCTTGGAACCTCTGCTCAGTCAGCACAAAAACATCTGTGCCTTCCAGCAGAGAGCAATAAATGCCTTACCTGCCTTACCCTGTCTCTTCCAGGCATCTTTTCCAGAATTCAAAGGTTTTGACAGTTGTGGATTTCACAGTCTTCTCTGGACCAGCCCTAGGAAATAGTATCTGCAGCTGAAACTGCACTGCCCATTCTTGTTCTTGCATATGATTAAAACTGCATATGATTAAAACCTTTGCCGGCAAACTTCTTTATGAGCTCTCTTAAATATTTGAATGCATGCAATGTTACTTCATTGCTGTGGCTTTTGAGGAAAATCCTAAATACATGGCTATTCTAATAAATAAAAAGCATGTATCATATTCTGCCTTTGGTGATGAAGACTTCTTTTTAGTACACAACTCAGAGAACAAAACATCTGTACAGAAATGAATCTGTGGATAGAGGATTATCAAATTCCTCTGTGACTTCAGGGAAGATATCAAGCATGCTGCCTTTTTGAAGGCTCTGCAGAATCTGGCTGTCAGATACAGGTACTCAGATAAAACAAGAAACTTTATGAAAATAATGTATCAGCAGGCTGATTGGGTGTTTGAAGAATTTCCTACATTCCATTTTACCTTCTGGTGTCTCAGTTTATATATAAATCTAAAATTATAGTGTATTAAACCATTATTTTTCATGTACTCAAACTGACCTCTGAGAAAAAAACACATCTCTAAAAAGCACAGGATATTCAAATGCATGGGGGTTTTTTTGTTGTTTCTTTGTTTTTTAATATTTAATTATACCAAAAACAGGTTTAGTAGACAAATAATTGAAAAAAATAATGACTTTAGATAGAAAAAGCAATAGTGAGGACTGCTACTATAGTTCTCTGTCCAAATGGTGCTCCACCATAAATGGACTTAGAGTAATTATCAGAAGGAAAAGTCTTGCTTTTATGGATGAGGAATTTCTTCCAATATATTCAGCACCAGAAATTGTCTCGAACTTCCACTGGTCTGCTTTGATACTCAGGATCCTATTCTGATGTGGGACATTACCAGCATAAGAGTAATCTATATGGGTGAGGAGCAAGATCTTTTGTTCTTTTCCAGTCTAACAGAGAACTAAATAGTAGAGCAAATGGATGGACAGACAGACAGACCCCTTGTTTGTTTTGCAATGCATATTATCCTGGCAGCTGGGTTGTGACTTAGCACAAGATTCGTGTGGTATGCCAAGAAAGGCAGCCTCAGCCACCAGCACCTTTCATGACTTAGATGTTTCAGTCTTAACTAAGTTTATGAGCCCCTTTATAAAGGGGAAAGGAGCAAGACAGTTCTGCTTTAAGATAAAGCACAACCTGGATCTGTCAGACATAGACTGAATACTTGTACAAAAGATCCTTTTCTTCCATCTTGAATATCTTGACGTTTCTTCGTAAAGCCCCATTTGTCTGTGTCCACCTGTTTTGGTCTCTTGCTTAGACGGTAAATTCAAAGTGGGGAAATTATTCTGGATCTACATGATTTGGTCTGCAGGTCTCCTAGGACCTGGTAGGTGTTATGGTGATTCAAATAATGAACATTGACTATCAAGAGAAAAACAACACTCCCGGACAACATGAGCAGGAAGTTGGTCATAAATGTGGTTTGTCACTTGGCACGGAGTCCACATTGCTCATGTCAGCGGCTTGATTGCTTCAATCCACTGCACTCGCTCTGCCTTGGAGCTGGCCTGGATGTAATAATGAATGTCATTTTTGGTGATGATTTTGAAAAGGTTGCCTTGCACATTGCCCTTCACTCCTGCAGAGAAAAAAAAAAAACCCAACAGATCAGGAGGGTGCACAGAGATAATCTTTCTGGCAGATATTAAGCTTCATAAGAATTTGAATTTCATAAATTAGGGAATCAAATCTTTCCTTTTTATTATGGATAAGACATCTAAAGCTTTTGTGTCTTTGATTTCCCTCTTCAAAACCCCTGGAAGTGTTCAAGGCCAGGTTGGATAGGGCTTTGAGCAAACAGGTTAAGTCGAAGTTGACCCTGTCTGTGGCAGGAGGACTGAAACGAAATGCTCTTTGGGGCCCCTTCTAACCCAAACATTTGTTGATTCTGTGATTCTATGAAAATACAGTATAGACAATCTTGCCACAGATTGTATGAACTATTGTGCACTCTACAACATATCTAAAATAGTCTCTGTTTAGGTGGAGACTATTACTTGAGTTATACACTGAATGAATGATGAACCCCTACAATTTTGCATGGTAGATTAGATTTTCCCCTGCCCATAGCTGGGTTCCTCTTAGCAAGGAGCTCTGTTGTTCATCATGTGCCCGTGCCCCCTAGACCAAAGCTTTTTCAGACCTTCTCTTTAGAAAGATGTTCTGTACTTGATATCTACACATTGCACTTACTGTCATAAAATAAATTGCTTTAATAGCAGAAACACTTATCTATGAGGCTGATGCTCTGGACAAATGCCTGAGCTAAGCCTATACTCCAGCAAAACTGTTTTTTTATTGCTGTCTTTATGTCTCCCCTACATTTGGGTTCTAGCAGGTCAGAAAGGAAAAGGTAATAGCATAAATTGAGAGGACACAGAAATGGATGGCATCAGAAGATGCCTCAAGACTTTGAGTTAACACCCAAAAAGAAAGTGGTTTCTCTTTATTAACTCTGGAATATTAATCAGTCTTAGGACTGTCTCAGAGGTCATATGACTAAGAAAAGCCCATATAAAGAGAACACGCAAGATATGTAGAAATGACACTAAAAAAAAGTCCCCTTTGCTGTGGACAACCCAGCAGTACAGGGACTTGTGACATGCCTCTTCCCTTGCTTGCAAAGGGAAATGGAAAGTCAGCCCACCTGTGCATACAAGCAACCATAAATACAAACCCATACCCAAAGACCATGTTGCTACAGCATACATATAAATGTGTGAAAGTTCAGAGGCTTGTGCTCACCTGCTGGGACTCCATTGTCCTCCAGAGCTGAGACAAGACAGCCACGAAGAGAGAATCCACCTACTGGCTTGTTGTCTTCCTGCAAGAAAAAGGAAACAAGGCATAGCTGGAAAACATCATCATTTCCCAGAGCACATGCATCACTTTTCTGAAGTTGGAGACATAATAGCAGTTTTTCCAGGCATGAAACATCTATGTCACAAGAGAAATCAATTAGAACATGTAGTTAAAGGCATTGCTATATTTTTTCAGTCCCAGATGTTTCTCTAATGTAGCTGGGCATGGTGTAGATCTGTTAAAAGCACAAAAGTAGGCAATCACACTTCAAATGTATGTATGGTTTTATCAATAACAACATACTGAATTATATATATTTCTGTAAGTATTTAGCTTGCTGCTTTTCACTGAGACTGTATGGGAAAAATCTGGTTCTTTTCCCTAGTTGGCTGGCACTCTTGTTTCTTGCCTTCAGGTTCTGCAGTTTCAGCTCATAGCCTTACAAGGATAATTTGCAGTGAAAAAAATCCCCAAAACCCATGTAGGAACAGGAAACAAAAAATTAACTGGCTCTATAAGCTCTTTTCACTGGAATGTAATTTTTATTCACTTTAAAAGTCACATAAAGCATTTCTATACATGTTCTTCTCGCAATCCTGTTTGGCTTTGTGGTACCCTAAGTATCTGAATTGCTCACATTGATTATTATATTCATGAACATAAATTCTACTTTTCATGAGAAAGTTTACAACTAAGTAGTAGAAATTCTATACATACTTTGGCATTAAGAAGACCCTATTCAGTGCTGGAATAAGGTTGTAAAAAAATCTCAGAACCAGTATGATCCTCAAACAGTAGGATTTCAGCCCAGAAAGATCACAACCCAGGAAGAGAGCCTGCAGGACCATGGTCCCAGACTGCGAGGGTACAGCAAGAGAGCAATCCCAAGAAAAGGAAGCTGCTGCCCAGCTAAGGAAAAGGGATCTCACTGGGAAAAAGGACAGAAGATGCAGGGGTACAAAATCCTACAAGGACAACCTCCTAGGGTGAGGCCAGAGAAATCTAATTCCTGGAAATGGATAGAGGAACCCAGAGTGATAGAAACATTTACAGTGTAACTGTGTCTTCACGATAATGTTTATGTTTCTAAAAGGATTTCTGGTAACTTCCCACTCACATACCTTGGTGGGATCATAGTAGTGCAAAAAAGCAGGATCAGCTCTCAAAACAAATTTTCTCACCTTCCAGTTTTTCCTCTTGTGCCCCTGCAAAATGGAAGAATTAAAATTACTACCGCATGAAATGACCATTTTCCTACAAGCTGAAGGGGAGACATAAATACCAAAACAAGAGCATTTGAACCCAACAGAGAAAAATATTTCCTAACATCTTGGTAATTCCCATGACTTTCTGCTTATCTTTCTTCTTCATATATTGACAATTCCTTCATCTCTTCCTTCCCTGTGATGAGAACTAAGAAAGCAGAGTGACAGGAACAAATGGTTATATCCCTCATTCCTGCTTTTCATTTCAGATTAAATATGGGTTTCAGATTAAGACCCCATGCTGTGTGATCCAAAGGGGTTATGTCAGGTCCTTTTTCAACTCTTTACTCTTTCACCACAGCCCTGTCACTGCTGCCAGGCCTGTTCCAGGCCCTGGGAGCATCCCCTCTCCTGGAGGTTTGGTGGTGGGATCAGAGCCAGCCCGGGGCTGAGGCTGCTGGGGGCTGTCCCTGGCTGCTGCTGCCCATGGGCAGGAGCTCCTGGGCAGCTCTTGTGTCCTCTGCTGCTGGGGGCTGCCCTGGCAGCCTGTGGGGATCCTGCAGCACCCTGCCAACCCTCATGGAGCCCTGGCAGCTGAAGGAGTGGGGTTGGGTTGGGAAGCAGCTGGTCATCCAGTTTGCACAATGCTAAGGGTGGGGCTCTGGGTACAAGGCTTCAGAGTAAGAGTGGGGCCATGCTGTGCAGGTAGGATTCCTTCTGCAAGTGGCTGTGTTATGCTTTGAAAGAGTGATTTACCCTCATCTAGTTCATAGCAAGTGTTGGAAACTACATTTTGCAGACCAAGGGTCAGATCTTGGAAACAGTTATTAACAGCGGGTACTTGTGCCCAAAAAACGTTTCACCACCACCAAAGCACCCATGTGTACATGATGACTGCCCACAGGTAAATGTCCACTTCATACAAAGGTCAAGCTACTCAGCTTTGAAATTTGTCTGTGGCCAGCAACACATCCTCACTGTTGACACCACCTGGATGGGATAGGTTAGAGCAATGGTGGCTCTGCTTGGAAGTGGATGTAACACCTCTGGTAGGATTTGGAGTTTGTGTGGGGCTTCTGTTTTTGATGCTGTTTTGTACCTTTCAGTATATGCTCAATATGTACAGAATATCCAATTAATCCTGCCTGAGCAAGTTCCATAGTTCACTCCTTTATAACTGGATACTCTTAACTGCAAGATCTCAAGTACTGACAGGCAAGTTAGTTCTGCTGGGCACATCTGTCCAGCCATCATTGTACAAGTCACATTTACTCTCTAAGAAACCCTAAGAGCTGTACTGTTCCTTGTGTTCCGGGGCAGGTTCCAAGACTATGCTTACCTGTTTCACTAAGAATCCTTGCTTCACAATTGTGCCACTTAATTCAGAGATGTTAAAATGGACCTCTTCCTTGGAACTAGTATTTTTCTTACTGCTCTCAGCCTGTAAATAGGGAAAAGACAGTTCCACTTTTGTTTTTAATCTGAACAGACTTTTAAGTAGAAAATTCTGCATTTTATTTTCCTTAGCTATTTTCAGCTTATATTTCCTGAGTAAATTCTCCTCCATAGCTCTGCTGCTCAGCCTTGTAGGACCAAGATTCACAGGCAACAGGTTACAGTTATAAATCTGTACTTGCTGAGTATAAGTGCTGTGGCCTTGAGCTGTAGCACAACTACAGCACTGCCTGCAATGCATGCAGACACAGCACTGCACTCCAAGGACATGCCTCTTTTAATGCCCAATTATGTAATTTGTAGATCCCTCTATATCCATGTAGCTATTTGGCTCCAGCAAAAGTGCCAGTGTTAGTACTACTGAAAGACTAGAGCTGCTCCTTCTGCATTTACTTTCTGAGCCTGCACATTTGCCTTTGGTTGCATGCTGTGCACCTGTACCCCAAACCGAGTGTGTGACGAGGGAGAGGAGGTGCCTGTGTGGGAGCTGCATCACTCACAAACATGTACAGAGCGGTGGAGTCATCGAGGAACTTCTCAGAGGGGTCACTGGAGCGTGTGGCCTCAGTGCTGCGGACTCCCACGGGCCTGAGGAAGTTCTCATCCATCAGCATGGATGCCAAGGTGACGGCCTCGAATCGTGACACAGCAAAGCTGTTGGAGATGAGCCAGTCCACCAGGGCAGAACCTGCAGGAAGAAAGGCAGCTCTCATACTATGACAGTGTGCTCTTCTGAGGGTAGCAGATGGTTTCCTGCAACACAGGCTTTCACTTGCAGAAACATTTTGGCACCATCCCAAAGATTGTCAGAGAAGTAAAAAGTTGACCAAAGGTCTGGGGTTCTAAGTATGCTTCCATACATCCAAAGAGCAAGAGAGAAAGGTGTTGGAGAGCTTGGCTGCACTGCCAGATTCCACTGGGCCAGAGCTTATCCCACTATGAAGGCAGTACAGCAGCTCCTTTGTCCCTGCAATGTGGCATATCAGATGTGAGGTGGCTCTGATATATAATGAGGTGGCTCTTTGCCTGCCAGATGTACCTGTGAAGGTCTCTTTGTATCTGTTGCCTTGATCCAAATTGCGGGTCAGCTTAATTCCAGTGCTGCTGTCATACATTCTCTCCACTATATTGCTGCAAATGAGAGCACAGCATAACATCAGCAGATGACAAAGACAGGCAGAAATAGCTGTATACTTTCTGTCAGTGCCAGGGGTGTCCTCATGATTACCCACATAAAGATGGGAGGTATTCTAGGTGCTCCCTCAGAAGCACTGTCCTAAGTACATTCCAGGAAAACTTTATTCTCCCAATAGCAGCACTAAACAAGATGCCTCACAAAGCATCTTCAATTCAGAGCACTGCAAAGTGATCCATAGTCAGCCCAATTTACCTGTTCAACACAAATCAAATTAACCTAAGTCTTCTGTTTCTTAATCAGTGTCCATTTCCTCTTGTTTAAGATGAGGTACTTTAAAGTCCTAGTCTGGATTCCAGATACCAGCTTTGAAAACTCAACAGGGCACAAAGCCACCACGTGGTGCTTCCCTGATGTTACATCCTTTGAGGTAATACATCTCCCCAGGGAGAACATTTGCAGCTGACTAGGAAGGTCTTCAAGCCAGCAGTGAGGTGCCTGTGCAGAACCCACATACTCCCAAAAGATGATGGTCAGGAAAAAGTGCATTCCCTGTGCAAACCTAGGGCAGCCAGTTCAGGGGTTCATGGCCACACAGGAGCAGATCTGTGCAGAAAGGATCTTCCCTTGGCCGTCCCCATCCATCAACTCAGGCACTTTGCAAACTACAGCAACAACAGAAGGAGAAATCATATACACTTACTGGAGGCTGATATTTTCTAGCAGTTTGAAAGAGTTCTTCATTCTGTGAAGTTCTTGTACCTGTACTGGATGACCAGCATGAATAGCTCCAGTGATGTCCAGAGCCCAGGAGTCACGTTCCTCCCTGGAGCAACATTCAAGGAAATAGTCTGTATTGGTTTTTGTCTTTAATTTGATGAGTAGCTGTGGAGAAAGAAGGACAAAGCAATAACATCATTTAGCTATTTTGCTCCTCTTGCAATTTGCTTTTTTTAGCATTGGGCCAAGTGACACAAGTAAGTCTGACAGTGCATCCCACCTGAGCAGTTCAGAGCAATTCTTGTTCAGAAGGATGGTGGGCACAAATCTAGGTTGTTTTTGGTGGGTTTTTTGTTGTTGTTTGTTTGTTGTTTGTGGGAGTTTTCTGTTTGGTGAGGGTTTTTTTGTTTTGTTTTGGGTTTTTTTTGTGGGTTTTTTGGCTCTTCTATCCCCCTCAAATCCCTGGGTTTTCAGTTATAGACATGGTTTACATGGATGGAGCTCCTGGGGAAGAGAGCAGACCACACAGATACCCTACACAGAGAAAATCTGCATTGCTGCTACCTATAGGAGAGCAGAAAAACACAGGAGGAACGTTTTCTTCCAGAGTCTTCTTGCTGAAAACTTTCTACAGCAGCAATATCCCATTGTTGAAGGAAAAAGGAGGCTGATCTGGCAGCCTGGGAGCACTCCATGGATACCCAGGCTTTAAGGCAACTACCACAGGTGATATTCCCTTTTTTCCCCACCCTCCTCAGGTTCTATTGGGGTGTTCATGTCCTCTCTCCACACACTGTTGGGCTGATGCACTTACATTTTTTTCTCCTCACTATGTGTAAAGGAGAAGTGGTTGGGGTTGTGTTTTTGTTAATAGCTGACTCACATTTGGGCACACAATGAGGGAGTTCAGTGCTTGTCCTGGTTACACTGCTAGTGGCAGCTTGCTTTTGGCTGGGCCTAATTCTGGAAGCACCCCAGTGGTATGGTTGCAGTAGTCGAAGCCAGGAGGAGAGGAGAAGATAGGAAGAAGTTAGAAAATGAGTGACATAGAGAAGAGATACATTTTTCCAGCCATACCGGTCTGTTCTCATATTCCAGGCATGGACAAGTAATAGTGCAGCCATCCAGAAGGATCCTGCCCTTTGGAGTAGGCTCCTTCTTGCCTCCTTCAATTTTGTAATACAGCAGCTTATCCTGGAGCAGAACGAACCATCTCACTTTCCAGTTCCGAACAACATGTCCCTGCAGGGGGAGAAATCCACATAACTGATTGTACCACAAGCACTGAGAAATGGCCACATTTTCTTCTTGGCTTCTTGTATGAAAAGAAGCACAAGAAGTCATTGTGAGTCCTGTTCTCCCTGAAATACACATCTTAAGTAACAAAATAGCACAGCTCCATCACCATAAAATCATAGAGGGATAGAAAAGTGCTGTGCTCTTTCTTCAGCCTGGAGAACTTTGCTGGCACAAATTGTTTCTTGTAAAAGCTCACAGGAATTATCCCAAAGAGCTGATGTAGGTTCACACCTGTCTGCTGACAGCACAGGCTAAATCCAAAATGTGTGAGGGCTCTTGGCAACCAGCTCCTCCTCTCTGGTGACCTTGAGTGCTGTCTTTCTCATTTTGATGTGGCTCTAGGTGCCAAGTGGTTTTGCAAGAGCTTTGCTGGGTGAATTGGCTTTTCCTCACATCTCCCCCTTACTGATAATGAGAAGTTCATTTCAACCCCATCTGTCTCCAACCTCCTGGGCTAAAACATTCCCTGTGCTATTGGTTCCTGTAAAGGAAATATGCTTTTTGATTACAAAAGACTGAATGAAGGCTGATGTTGAAAGCCTCATGGATTATATAATACAGACAAATCCTCCTATTTTTCCTCTGTAAACAGCCCCCAGCTCTCTTTATTCTGGTTAAAGGACAGCAAAGCCAGTGAGGGCTGGCACTGGCAGGCTTAGTCCTGTCTGATGGTGTCTGGTCCAGCTTGGCTGTGCAAGAAGCTGACTTGTGTTTCTACAGGGGATGGAGCGTTACAGCCAGCAGGCAAAGCAGGGGGTAAAGGAAGCTCTGACACCTGGGAGAGGGTGGGCATGGCTAGAAGAAACATGTAAGGTCCAGTTGTGGCATGAATCAAAGCTCATTAGCTCTCTGTAAATAAAGGGGAAACCCAGCAATCTCCAAGTAAAGGTGGAGTAACAAGTCTCTAAAATCCAGGGCACTGTAGATCCAATGTTTTCTAGTCTATACTAAATACAATTTATCTATCTCAGGTTTGTTCTCTCCTTCCCTTTGTGTTCCTCAGGTTTTTTTTCACCTGTTGTAAAGTTACTTAGCCATTTTTCCTGTATGTTCTTTGCTATGGCTCTATTCTTTCCTTCTGGAAAATGTTCTCTTTTCTCAGGAGGTTGCCTTAACTTTTTAAATTTATCTTTACCTAATTCCACACATTCACTTTATATTTATAATGCATTACAGTACATAATTCTGCCATTTATAATGCATTTAGATAATCTCCTTGCTTCTGTTCTCTTCTTATGAAAGCCCTGTTTTCATTACCTGATCCCATCCCTTTCTCCTTTTTTCTCTGCGGATCCCTGGCTCCCTTGTCCCTCAGTTTGCTTTAGTTGTCCCCTTTGTGCTCTCCTTCCTGCCAAGCTGTGTATTGTATTTGGGTGATGTTGTACAGACTGGCATCACAGTTCCATGTGCTGCCAATCACCTATTCATCTCACTCACTTGGTGCCTCGGCTTCCCATTTGAATGCAGGAGCCACTTAAGAGCCAAAGAGTACAGCTGGAGCCCAGAGAGGAGACTGGCAGCTGGGATGCTCTGCCCTTGCTGCAGAAGGCAGGATGGAGAATAGCCCCTTTTCCACAGAGAACTTCACTTGGACAGTGTCTGGCCGGGAGCCCTGCCAGGAAAACTCCTGACCAGGATTACCTTCATGTTAGCACCAGGAACACTGCCACGTACTGCACAAAAGCATTTCCCTAGGCGTGGCAAAGGGAACAAACCTCTCAATCACATTTTTTTTATGAAATCAAGGACCATATTAATCATTGAGACAGGCTCTTGGTACTAAAAGTAGTTTATGCCCCTTGTTAAATTGTCTCCTTGCGTTCCAGCAATGATTGACTCGGTCCTACAGGAAGAAGTATTGGGAAGGTTGAAATCTTTCAGCTCTTTTCACCACATTTTGGCTAGAATTTTCTAACAGCACTGCTTGAGGAGAATGGAAAAAATAAGTTCTTTCAAAAGCATTTTCAAGTTTGCATTGCTTTGATCCCCTTCAAAAAGGGGATCAAAAAAAGGGGTCGTTTTTCCATTCTCTTACATGAAATGGGAAGCTCTGCACGGACATGTCAGTGAAGAAGGCACAAGCTATCCTAACCGACCCAAAACTTCTCCTTCTCTCCATCCTGCCATGGTGGCCCCCTGCTGCCGCGGGTGCTCCCTGAGCACAGAGGTGTGTGAGGTGCAGCCGTACTGGCTTTCCAACACCTGAGGAATCAATCCTGATGGCTAATTCACCTTCCTCTGCAGAAATGCCAGCACAGGGAAGCTTGCGGTGGGGCAGGGAACAGCTGCAGGTCATGCAGCTCCCCTGGGAGGCACCTGCACAAGCCTGGAGGATCTCCTTTCCCAGGAGGAGCAGGCGGGAGCCCCCGACCCAGCGCCCCGCGGGCTCGCCCCGCTCCCTGCTCAGGAGCGGCTTCATGTCGGAGCGGAGCCGCTCGGAGGGGAACAGAGCCGCTCGGAGGGGAACACAGCACTCACCCGTTTGACCAGGAAGCCCTCCTTCAGCACTCCAGCTTCTTCCTCCATCGTGGCCGGCAGGGAACAGAGCAGAGCCCTCGCCGAGAATCGCTTGAGCCCTGGCAGCCTGTCCCTCTGCACATGATTTGTTTAAGAAAGCTCATTTTTCTTTCCTCCCCTCCTCCAATGTGACGCACTCTCCCTCTCCTGGTTTTTTTTCTCCCTCCCTACCTGTGAGATATTAGTTAAACAGCGAGCTGGCTCTGATGTTTTACCTGCCCTCGGGGAAGTAAAACAAAGGGATGTCTAATAGGGATCTTGAAAGAATTTCACAGAATTTAGTAAAGCAAAAAACCACCACCGAGCGAGCTGGCCAAAATAAACAGCTAGAAAATGACAAATCAGGTATTGCATGGGAGGGGGAAGCAGAATTTTAAAACCGCATTCCTCCAAACTTCAGACTAAACAACTACCACCTAGAATTTCTCACCTAACAAACCCATCTCTCAGGAGTTCTACAGATTAGCACAACTTGTAAGTGTAACATTCAGGATATTATGATTACAAGGAGACTTTTACAAATCTTACCGTAACTTTTTGCTGAAAATTTATTTTCCCAAAGAAGCTCCAAAGCACCTAAGAGTCCATTCTACTTTCACTGACCCCTTGGTATGTAAACCAAGATTCTCAACCTAATACTCTAAATCTTTACATGAGCAGGCTTTCAGTAAAGCAGCCTGATCCTTGAACACGGCAGTGACCTCTTGTACCTCCTGAATGCCTTGAAACAGAGTGCCTTTTGTGTCTAATTACAATCTTAGATGTTTATTGTATTTCTGACTACTTTAGCCACCATGACAAATCTGTTTAATATGAAGTAATATTTCAGAGAGTGCTGCTGTTCTGAAATAACAGCCTTTGCTGTACTGTCAGCATTCCATGACTCTCACTAAAATTAAGGCGATGAATGTGGGCAGAGCTGTGAGCTGTGATAAGAAATACAAGGTAAATATAGCAAATAAACAAAAGCACTCGTTGCTATGTTAAGAGTCCAGAGGTCAGTAAGACTGACTCCAGTATCAAGGGGCACACTTTCATTCACCAAGGAAAAGGATCAAACAAATAATTTCTTTATACAGTTTTGTAACTTTTAGCTAGGAATAGCAAGACACTGAAGAATTGAAACCAAAATTGTGCTGGAGACAACCCAGAGAAGAGTCCTGCAGAGGCCATAAGAATACAATGGGTGACTAGCCACTGCTGGAAGTTAGAAAAATTGATTCTATATAAAGAGAAAACATGCTGGCTGAGATTTCAAAAGCAGAAGTTACCTGTGTAGCTCCTACTGTACACCTTTTGCCTCTTGGGAAAAGGCAGACAGCAACCAGGCAACAGTCTCAGTAAGTCATATCCCAGTATGTTTGTTCTTCAGTCCACCTAAAGTACAGTAACAGAACACTTGGAAAAGGACTTTGTGCTGCTGGTATATAATATTTTCAAAGTTATCAATGGAAATCTTTGAAGTTTTTAAAAATATAATTGTAACCTTAAATACAGAAAGAAATTAGAAATTAACCAAATGGCTTTTTGGTAATTTACACATATATATATATATATATATATATATATATATATATATATTTATAGATAAAAGCTGTATTCAGAAGCAGAATCTTGGGAAAAAAAAACCCCTGATAAAGCCAGCAGGAAAAAAAAAAATTCAGCTCACCATGTTTTGTACATCAGAATTACACTGGAGGGGAAAAAACCCCCAAAAACTTGAGTCCAGGTTCACAAGAGACATTACTGCTGCATGCATTTCCTGGACATGCACTCTTTATATAACCAGCTTCAAGAATACAGTGTTCCACAGTTTGGTATTTGAGGTTTGACTTCACATTGTTCAGCTTGTTACTGCAGGCAATTTAGTCAAGGTGCTATTTCATGCTAGGGAGGACAGGTAGAAGCTTGCAGGGGGCTCTGGCTCAGACAGTGATCTCAGAATTGCTCCATAATCAGTCCTCACTGAAGATCTGACAAGCTCCTTTTCTCCAGCATGCAGACCACCCACAACCCTGCAGACAGATCTTGGCAAAATTAACATTAGCAACAAAGAATTCTATTGTCAAATTGCTAGTGAAATGTGAAACAAACCTTGATTCAGCTGGTCATTAAATAACAGGTTTTGTATCAACTACTTCTTATATAGAGCCTTCACTTCCTTCAAAAGTATTTCTTCAGTACTTTGGATATTTATGATAGACACACCCCTTCCTCCCTGTCTCATTCTGTAGTTAATCAAGGCTGAAAAACTGCATCTGTATTGCTCCCTGAGGCTGAGTAAACACAGCTCTTTCAGGGTCAGGTAGTATAAAATGAGTCAGTAGATCTGAGCTGTCGTATTCATGCAGGGGCCGGGAATGCAGGTTCTGGCATTGAACCCTTCCGGTGGAAAAGGCCATGCTTTATCTGGATAAACTTAGGGAGCTCTACATCACATCTTCTAGGGAGCTCTACATCACATCTTCTGTGGGCCTTAAAACTCACTGCAGAGAAAGTACCCATTTCCTCAGGTAGGGTCCCATTCTAGAGTGCTTTCCACATCAGTGCAGTATTGTAACAAAAAAAGAACAGTTGAGTGCTTGACATTTTCTTGCCTTTGAAGTGACTCCCAAATTCTTTATATGCTATAGAATTTGGGATGGGATGGCCAGAAAGAGCCACCTTCAAGACCACAGGATGGTACTCAGGCACACAGGGGAGGGAGGAGCAGCCCCCACAGTTCTGAGTGCAGGCAGTGCTGTTTCAGCTGGCAGACCCTGCTGGCACTTCCCACTCAGTCCTTCAAGAAGTCTCACACAGCTGATTCAGGGACCCTGCCCAAAGGAAAGCCCCATCCCCTGCTCTGCTGTGCCCAGCGTGTATCATCATGTCACACACTGCACTGGGGCACTACCAACACCACAGTTTTCAAAGCAGCTTCTCAGGACTTTGCCCTCCAGTGCAGCACTCCCAAATTAGTTCCTTTAGTGAATTAGGGATGAAATATTATGAAAATAAACCACATCAAAATAAAGCATGATGAAACATTTCTAGATAGAAGTGAAAGACAACAAGCATTCAATAGTATTCTGACATAACAGCAATTTTAAAATTACTGTAGAAAGGTGGAACTATCTGGAAACAGTACACACTTAAAAATCAAAGTGCAGGTTCTGCTATGAAGAGCAACACACCAGGTCCACTGCACCTAAAGAAAAAATCTATGAGCCAAAATCAGAGAGAAAACAGCAAGGATTTGTCACTTTATTAAAAACCAGACAAAGTACAACCCTAAGGAAGCAGGGAACCCCTTTTTAAGAAACCACTATTTTTCCTCATTAGAAATGGGATACTGGGCTGTGTGTTACCAGACCTGAGCCAGTATACCCCTGTTTGGGTTGGATTTTTGCACTAAGTCCTTACCAGATATGGACTGGCAAGGACTGTTTCCAATCTGCCAATCTTACTTAGAAAATCAAACTGAGGTAGGAAAGTCAAACTGAGATCCTTACAATGAACACATCAGGCTGAGCCCTGTCACAGGCATTCCTGTCCCCTTCCCTTCCATTGACTATGTTAGGTGCAAGTGGAGGTGTTGGCCTTGTGATTACAATTGTGCAAACAGCACAGTAGCTAAGGAACAGCAGGAATGTGCTGCCTGGATTTAGCAACTCAACAGAGACATTCATAAAAACCCCTTATTTTAAGCACTTGGTAAGTAAAGGCAGTTTCACAAATGGAAAAAGAGCCAGGTTCAGACACAAGGCATCAGCTCAGCAACTTCTAAAGATCTTTAAGTGGTGGAGCACAGCAAGTCCCCAGTACTCCCTCACTAACAGGCCTCCAAAACACGCATCTTATACCTCCTCCTTCCTGCTTCTGCAATGCATGAGAAGATCCACCAGGTTGTCTCGTGTCTTTTATTTATTCTTGGTTGAAATACGCTCAAGAGAACAAATTGGGAGAACCTGGGTTTTTTTATGCCAGGATGACAAGAGATTGGAACACATTTATCTGAACCTGCTTTGATATCATCCTCACCGTCTTGGTCATTTTTTTCAGGCACCCAGAACCCAGGACTCAGACTTTTACCCACCAGCACATTCCAGCTCTAATTAAAAAATGCTCTGGTAGCTACTGGAGAAATTTAACAAACTGCTAAGTTACTGACAGAAACAATGCTCACCAATTAACACAGCAAAACAGCTCTCACAGATTATACTAATTATAATCCCTTCATTGCACTCCTTCCTTCCTTGGAGCATGCATGGCTCACTTATCAGTCCTTCTTCCTTTACAGAATTATTATGGTATGGAGATCACATGGTCACAGAGTTTTAAAATACTTTGCCTTTACTCCAAGTACCCACCTATTGTGTTTAGCAGAAGTCAAATCACTACTTTAGTGAATGGGCACAGTTGGAAGGCTGTCACACACAGCTGCTGAAAAGACAATTTGAGAAAAGGATTAAAAATATTTGTTTCTTCATTTTGCGAATTTGCACATTCAAGTATTTCCCAACAATCTGTAAAGACTGAAAGTTGCTTACCTTTTTTGGCTTTGCTTTACTATCAGAGTTGGGTACACATGAACTTCTCTGATACCCCAGCATGGAAGAGCATGTATGCCCTTTTAGAATGCCTTTTGTGGCAACACCATGTAGCAAGCAAATAGTTTGTATCATGGTAATCATAAGAATGTCTAGTTAAGGCTCAAGGCCTCATTCTTCATGCATTTTCCCTCTAGCATAACAAAGTATTAAGAAAAAAAAATGGGCAGTATGGGATATGGCAATGACAAAAAAAAAAATAGCAACACATTTAGAAATCTAGCAAGTTGCAAAGATTACTTAAAAAGCACAACTATTTCCCCTCAATTCCCACTGACAAAAGTGGGAAATTTTAATTTCCAAAACAGGAAATTAAAATTCTTTTTTTTTTAACTCCAGTTTAGAAAACACATCTTGTTTCTCTTCTTCAGAGAAGATAAACAGGTTTTTTTTTTAGAGTGAGTATCTCAGTTCAGTGTAAATGGCATACAGGGTAGGCAGAACTGAAGGTCATGTTGCAGTGAGCTCACAGACATTTTGAACTATACAAGTTCACTAAAGTTCCTGCTATATTCACCCGTCAGAGCAAAGTGCAACTATAAGTAGTTTTTCATTTATTAGCTATGTTTATTGGAATGGAAACAAGCTATTTTCAAAGTTTTCAAGTTCTCAGTCCCTAGATGCAGATGATAAACAAAGGAAACGCTAATTTAAACATGTGTGCACCAACAAACTTGCAAGGAAAACATTAATGTAAAACATTTTGTTCCACTCATTCTCAGCTTGATTTAAAGCAAACAAAGAAAGCCCTTTCAATGTTAAAGAGAAGTCACCCATTGATCATACTGTTCCAGGTTTTATATTCATACCACTCTAGGTCATGTGACAGAAGAGGAGGAGGAAAAAACCCAAAACCTCTGAGTTACATAGCCCAGAAATTTATTGAATACTTGCTCAAATACATTCTGTGTAGAACTGTTCCACTTGCTTGGTTTTGCTGCTCCCAGGAAAGATCATGAACAGATGCACTGAGCTGTAATCACCAATTAGGAATTGTTATGTATGAAAGTGTTAAGTAGGGGGCTGCAAACTCCGTCTGGCCAGATCTGGGTCTTGAATTTGACTAGGCACCTTCCTTTCAAAGGGATCAATTTGTGTAAGTTGCTGCACCAAATGTTATTTAGAAGAGCCTTTTACATTTTGGTCTTTTTCAAACAGGAAAGCACTTCATATATTTACTTCTGAAGTTTTCAATACTGAAATAATTTAGCCCAGAGTGTTTGCATGGGGTTTCTAATTTTTCATATGGTCTCTCTTCTAAGTATCTCAGAACATTTAGTCTTCTGTTTTGGCTTCCATTTCCTCGGCATCATCATCCCCATCCACTTCAGCATTTTCCCTCTCCAGTCTTTCCAACTGCCTTGCAAGCTCAGTCTCATCTGTGTCAGTGACCACCTTAGGCTGAAAAAAACCAAACCAGAACACACGGCAAACTGTCATAAAGAAAGGTCACATCATTTGTAGACTCTGATTCTACATAAAGAGCAAGAGATAAAATACGTCCTGAAGTCACCCAGGAAAATTAGATTTTCTGGCCATTTGTTTATTTCAAGAACACAGAGGTCCTGATTTTTCAATTTTTTTAATAACTTAGCAACTTAACTTTCTGCTCAGATTTCTTGTAGCACTACTGATCTTGCTCTACTTTAGAAATATTGCAAGGAAAAAGGTTGTATTTTAGAATGTAATTTGTTCTTACCTCCATCTGCACATTAAAGACTCCTCTCTTCTCCTCAATTTTTTCTTTAATTACAGCCATGGCTTGATTCAGAACAGACAGTCCTTCAGTTCTCTCCAGTGTTGTAGTGGTCATCACATAACGAGGAGGGGCTATCAGATTAATCTATCACATTGTAAAGATTGGAGAAAAAAGCAAACTCAGTAACAAAGGAAAATATATTATGCCTAGTTAGACCAAAATTTAAAAGCATTAAAACCTGTATGTTTTCGTTTTTTGTGATGACTGAATAAGTAAAGCATTTCTTTTGCTACAAGAGACTATTATAAAAAGTAATTTTCAAAGGAGAAAGTACTTCCAAGTTTTTTTAAAAACACTTACTCAGTAGTACACTTAACATCCAAAAACTGTTGGGGAAGAAAAACTAGGCCTGGGTACAGTAGTCATTCTACCAACACTCAAATGTCAGTGGAGCAAACTTTCCTTTTCTTACACAGTCTTATCCCTGAAAATAAAATTTATTGCTCCCTAGTTAAGACTGCATAAAGGAACAGTGGGTATGTTCTGTGCCAATACTAGACTTTAATAAATTGAACAGAATAAATACAGCTTCCCAAACTTTGAAAGGCACTGCACAAGCACAGGAAGGACTGCCAGCACATGGCTGAAGGAGTGTGTTACAGCTCTGCTGGAGAAGAGCTGAAAATCGGGCACATGGCTTCATGGGGCAGAGCAATTGCAAACTCCTGGTCCCTGAGGGCATCAGAAAACTTTGCTTTTGATTCCATTATTAAGACTTGACACTCACTTTGATGGGCATGTTCTCTGTGGAACAGTTCAAGCCTGCTCTCAAAGCTTCTTTTACTGCATCTATGCCTTCATAACCATAACAGGCCACTTCAATATCTACAAGAGAAATACAAATAATAAAATTTTACCATTACCAAGAGCTGCAAAATATCTAAAGCTTAACTTAAACTTTAACAAATCTTTCTAGCAACCAATGTTTACCCACAATGAGAGCCTCAGTAGCTCCCAAATCTGTGGAGCACATCCACAAAGTTATGGAATTCCATCAGCAATTACAACAGAGGCACAGAGGCATCACTTGAGGAGCATTAGAATACATTTTTATAAGGTTAACATATGGTTAGAATTATAGTTAGCTACAGCCTTTTGTAGGTATTTGAAAATCAAGGCATAAACTCATACTGCTGATATCTGTAATACCCTGACCAGTGTAAAGACAAAGATTTCTTGACCTGCATAGCAATGGCACAAGACTAAGCTACACAAAGGAGATGGTTTCACTTCTGGGTGACTCACAAAAACCTGCTAATTCTGAGCTATCAGGAACAAATTCACAGAGGAACATCCCAGTCAGCCTGGGGATGAGAAGAGAAGCCAATGGCAAGATTCTACACTTGTGCTGATGACAAAATTAATGACAGACCATCAGAACTAAATAGGCAGCATGAAGGAAGTAAGAAGACATGCTCTTTAACTTTATTTTCAAAAGTGATGAAGTGCTATTCATGTTAGTAAATGCACTCTTCATGGCAAGCACATCAAATTTTTGAACTGTTAACTCCTGGCAGTCTCAAGCAATAGGTAGAGGAATTTTACATTACCTTACTTTTTGTACACTCTTCTTAATTTCAGAGTGGAAAAGGCTTATCTCTTCTCTCCACAGTAATCAGCAAGTGTTAAAGCTCTTCAATATACACTTGCAGAGCAGAGGCAATTTCTCAATCTAGTTAAAAACATGATTTGGCTACACTATGGCAAGTGTGCCTTTAGGCTGTTCTGTAGAGCCAGATTTACAGTTTTGAAGTATGTCTTCTGAAGTCATGCAGTCATGTGCTTTTTCTGCCACACTAAATTAGTAAGACACAAACTAGCTCATAGATTAGACATGTGCTAGGCTTGAGCTGATATATTCTACTGAATGGTTTGCAATCAACCTGTTAAAAATATTATTTTCACATGTTTATGAACAAGTGACTAAGGAGCATGACAAGGTGTAGCTGTGCTGACAGAGTTCAATTATCCTGTCAGGGAATCAATGAATGTAAAACTCTGAATAATGAAAAAGAATATTGTAGATGCAGTAATTAACTATAAAATATTTAGTTTCATTGTGTGCCAATGCAATATGATGGACCACATTATCTATCATGACAACCAGTCCGTGTTCCAAGGAATCTGCACTTCGGGAGGAAAAATAAAAGCCAGACCACCTTGCACTTTGGGATAGAACCCACACAGGGAATTTGAAAGCAATTCTTGATTAAGATATCTTAATTCTGAACAGCTCCATTCAAATATCAGCATTATGAACCATTAGTTTTAACTGAGTTTATGGTTTGCAACAAGATACACTATCTCAACCTAAGGATCAAGACAGGTTGAAGGAGCACGTGGGAAGAACTCACCAGCTCGGATTTTGACTGCCTGTGGTGTCAGACGTCTGTTAATATTGTCAATCAACACACGCCTCTCTTCCTCTGTCAGATCCAGGCTATCCAGGATTGCAGGGTCTCTGAGCCAAGCAAAGCAACGTTACAGAACTTATACTGAAGAGGAATACAACACTATATAAACTTCTGGTACTATTTCTACTTCTTACAAATAATCCTTGATACCTACTAGGCAAAGAAAATGGAAAATTCTTAAGAACCCATTGAAACACTGCAAGAAAATGAACACATCTATTTTCAAAGCATTTTCTACTGGTAAACACAGCAGTTTACTCAATTTGTTCCTGGAAGGAATAATCTGAATGATTTAAATTTTTTTTTAAAGCAAGGGAATGGCTTTTCTCCTGCTCCCTCTATAGAGATAAATAGAATGTGACAACTATCCAGCTTCTTGATATTTTTATATTTTCTCCAAAGTGAAAATAAACTCATACCACATAAAAGCAAATCCATGATGAATCTGGAGTTTTAAAATTATTTTAGTATTTCATTCAAACACAAGATATTTGTCATTCTACAAAGTAACCAACATTCATTCCATGTTATTTGGTACTTGTTTTTAACAGTATCTGTATCACAGACAGATATTTATCTGCTGGCTGTATTCTCAGCTAAAGCAAGGATAAAGGCTTTTTAAATCCCAAGCTCACAGTTTCAAACTCAGAGATCACAGAAGCAAACTCCTCTGCTGTTTACCAACATAAATTAGCAGTTCTCTTTTAAAGAAGTGGCATCAATTTTCTATTGCTGTATTAAATTTACTCCAAAGCTATCTGAAATAGAGAACATAACCAAAAAGTTCATCACAAAAACACCTCCTGTTCTGCAGAGACAAAAAGTCACAGTTTTCTGAAAAAAACACCAGATCACTTACAATACTACCAGCAGGCAAACATGAAATAAAATGGCCCAAAAGCCAGAGATAATACTAGAGATTGGTCTCTGCTGCTAATAAAACAGCAACCTTCATGTTTTTGTATGCTAAGTATAGAGAGTAGAAGGGCCAAACAAGCAAACAGAACCCAGAAACATGACAGGTTTTACAGATCAAAATATGAACCTGTATGGCAGAAGTGATTTATGGTATATACAAATGCTGCTTTATTTCCAAACTGTCCTGTTAAATGCACCTGTTAAAGCATTTGTTAGGCTTTCAACAATAGGTTCTCAAAATATAATTTTTACTGATTAGAAGGTAAATATATTGTCCAATTTCTGCCATAGGTGTCATGCTGTGTGAAACTCCAAAACACTAATCCTCAGTACAAAGAAAGGAATAACAAGCCAAATTCTTAGAGGGAATTCTAAACTTCACACAGTACTCCAGCAAAAACAGGAAGGCAGCAATATCCACATTGTTCTACTCAGCTGCTACACATTTATGTAGGAGCACAACAGGAACAAAAATTTGCAGATCACAGTCAGAAATCATAAGGCATTACTGATGGAAAGATATTTTGAGAACAGACAGCTTCAGAAGTTTGTGCTCCAAATTGAATAGTAAGTGAGCAACAAAAGACCTGTGCTCAGGAGTTTTCATACGTATACAACTGAAGCTAAAACAGCCAGTGTAACTAGAGGTGTTTTTTTAAAAAAATTTCTATTATACAGATGTTTAACTAAGTATTTATCAGTTAAGAGCGATCTGGAATTCCTTTGACAGCAGTATGTCCAGATTTGGCCTTTACCAGTAAATTTGCTCTCACCAGAAAAGAATCATTACAATATGAAACAAAACACATTAATTCTAAACGAGGACACAAGCTGTTTCTTCCCCCAAAACGCAGAGCTGGTTTTCAGCTCCCTAAAACACTACCGAGCGCCCTGGCTCCTTAGAGTCACCGCCACTTCTGACAGCATTATTACTGCCATCTAGCGTTCAGCTCCACTTCACCACGCACACACCTCGGTGCTGTGAGAGAACAAAACTGGAAATGTTCACTGAGAAATCCAGTTTAGGATTGACAATTTCACAGCAGGCTCTGTAGAGGGAAACCAAATACTTCGATTCTGAAAGCAAATTAAAATATCAGACTCCATTTAAAAAATAACAGCCATCTATCTCAGTGCATATTTCCTTAGCATGACAATTTCCACCTCTTTCTCTTCATAATTCCATTTCTAAGTTTAGGATCCTATTCTTTAAGTTCAGAAGTGGAGAGAAGTAACAAGTCAGCTTGTTGCATTTAGAAAAAGAAAAAAGCTGCCTGTGCAGTGGAAGAGTGACAATCAGCTCTGAGTAGAAATGTCCTCAGACATTAAGCTAGGTATTTCTGATAAAATCTGCCTGGGACTAAAACCAGGCAAATTCTGACAGACAAATGAAGACCAGTGGTTCTTCCTCCATTAAACTGATGTCAAAATTTACTAGATTTACTTGACCAGTATATTCTTCATACTGATTCTGGGAAAGAAACCAAATGATACAACCCAAAAGACCTACTGCAGGAAATACTTGTCTGCAGTTTGAAACAAGCCCCTAGAAGGAAAGAAGTCCTTACGAGACTGCATGCTTGAATGCATCATAAGCACCATATCCAGGTCTTTTGTACTTGTCATCAAACACCCAGGCAGTTCTCTGGAACAGGCTCTCCAGCTGCTCATCCTTAGTGTACTCCAAGACTTCAGCAACGTGGCGAAGGATGCTGTAAACCTGCAACACCGGACTGGTAAAAACCCCAAACCAAATACTGAAAGTAGATGAAAATTTCTACTTGGAAGTGTTAAGACCACACAGCAGTAAGGATGGGAGCCTGAAACTACCTGCACATCTTTTCAATAAAAAGTTGCCCACAGTGTGCTAAACCTGCATATACTTTTGGATTTCTGACCATTTAAATATACCCATTTACATCATAAGTTCTCAACTGACACTTTTCTTGATCTATTAATTATTTAATAAGCAGCTTACCATGTAACACTCATGGACATAAGCTGGTTATATATCTTTGCAGGGGTAAATGAGAATCACACTATGCCTAACACCTGGATGCTTTACTTTTATCTTATGGCTGCGCATTTTGGTTGCTCAAGAAAGAAGCTGGGAATACACAGGGCCTAAATATAGAAAGGCAACTTACAGTCTTTGATTTTGTGAATTTGTCTTCACATTTGATTGCCTCCTCTGGAGAAACTCTTCTTTTTGACAAATCAATATAACCTGTTGGGGAAGATGATTTTTAAAATGTCAGCCATTGTGCAATTGAAGTCTGACTCCTTCAAGAGAAACTCAAGAACAAACACCCTGCCTACAGTATCCCCATATTTTGCTACAGAGAGAAACAAGACCAAACCTTGATGAATTTCAGCAAATTATGATCCAAATTAGGATACAAAATTCTTTCAACTGTAAATACTTACAGTAGCAAATCTTATCTCAGCAACTAGTGAGCTATTTTTATGTTTCTGTACACAGTTTGGGAAAAAAAAATCATTCCAGCATAGAAATAAGCAAATTTAATGCACATTTTTGTAGTGCTCAACACAATTTAATTCGACTGGCACCTCATCACTTTAGCTCTGAACAGTTTCCTAATAACATAGGCTCAGCCTGAAAGAAATGCTCATGAAAAAATTTCTTTTGAACTCTCTTCTAAATTATAAAAGGCCTCCACCTATTTCTCACAAACTATATATTCTCCAATAAGTTCAATAAAAGACCACTAGATGAATTCAAGATGTATTCCTCTGTTAATATGAAAACAAGATTAATTTGTAAAAGTATAATTTCATTAGAGATGTTGGGAAACTTATTTCACTTCAGATTTATCTGCAATAAGTTTATTCTTGCCCCTCTTTCATCTCTGCTTTTCCTTATTCTGTCATTCATTATTTATTCTCAGTTACCTGGAATTTCAGAAATATTCTAGAAAAGCATATAACTTGAAGAACATAATACCAACAATAACATTTCTAGGAGACGTGCTCAGTGTTTATTATTTCTGTACAGCTGGATAGAGATTTTAGAGATTGCATGGAACAGTATTATCAAAATCTGAAATGTTCTCAATAGAAATTACATTTAATGAACCTTCAAAGATTCAAACATTCAAAAGGCAGGAAAAACCAAAACTGCCTGTACAATCCTAACATGTACCCTACAGAATTCACAATGATTATGTACTTGCCATCACCTTTATCAACAATGTTAACAAACAGGATGGATGGTAAGTACTAAATGCTTAGCATCTAGATTTTTACTTCTATAGCAAATAATCCTTCCCTTCAGTTGACTTAGAAAATCTACATAGCCATCAAAAGAAAATTCCACTTCACTATAGTTCAGTGACTGATCTGGTGAGGACCCACTTAAATCTTTACTGATGTGATTTACTTTCATTAACCCAATTCCCAAAGGACACAGAGGAACAGAAGAACAATCATAGGTATGGTCAGTGATGGTCTATTTTATTTCAATGCTCAAAAAAAAAGTAGCCCTGACAAAACCCACAAACACCTGCTTAGTTTATCTGCATTTCTGTCTACAAATTCAATCTTGACAGAGCCCAGCACATGCCCAGATACCTTTCTCTTTGTCGACCCTTATGACCACGACGCACTCGTTCCTGCCGATGCGGATGAGTTTGTTTATGGAGCGGATGCGCCTCCTGGACAGCTCACTGAGGAGGATCATGCCTTCAATGTTGTTGTACTCCAGCAGGCTGACATAGGCTCCCATTTCAGCAATGGAGCGAACGTTGACCATCACCACATCCTCCACCTCGGGGAATTTATGTTGGTAGAACCTACAGCTTAGTCCCGGCATTCTGGAATTTGAGCAGAAAAAACATTTTTATTTCACAGTATATCACTGCCTCCTCCTACAAACACGGCAAGAAACCAGCAAGGATTGGGGATGATAGAGAGGAACAGTGGCAGGAAATGTAGCAATTAGGATAAGGTTGTGCTTAGGTTTTAATAGAAATTAAGTAATGAATTAACTTGTATTTCAAGTACTATTACTACAACCATTTCCTAAGATGCTATTTTTTTGCAATTCTGTAGAAAAAACTTTGCTACCCAGACTTCATTACCCACTTCACCTGTCATACACAGCACACTGGAAAGGCTTCTTCAAGTGCTGGAAAGGTGGCACTGCACACCTCACACCCATCTAAAGTCATGAGCGTGTAACATTCTCACAGATTCACAGAATATGCTGAGTTGGGAGGGACTCTCAAGGATCGTCAGCTGGACTGCAAGAGCAGGAGGACATAGAAGAGAAGCATGCAGCGCTCATAAAGGATTTTGTATGTACATAATAAGACAGCATGTGAGGCTAAGAAAATAAGAGGCAGGTGGAAGCTTCTGTAGTACTATGAAGGAGACTCTGTATGACTTTTAAACTCAGCACTGTATGTTCAGAGTAATCCTGCAAGACCTGCTCCAGACACCAATTGTCAGCAAAGAAAGCAGAGGCATTAATCAGAATAGAACTAGCCTGGCCTGAACTACTGAAAGGGGAAAAAAAGTGCCCCACAACAGACTGCTAGTGTGGAGGGGAAAAACCCAACAAAATCACATGAAAAGCCAGAATTTCTTCATTATACATTCAAAATCAAAAAAGGGCAAAAGCAACATTTCATGATCAGGTGGTGGTAAGAAGAAATGCTTACACTGCTTTATTTTTCTGACAATGAATCCATATGCTCTTAAACGTGTAACTAGATTAGTTCAGTTGTCTATACCTTGAAGTTTCACACAGAAAATTTTCTACAGCAGCAGGAGCCCAAGATGCCAAGTCAAAGGCATCACTCCTTCAGAAGATTTTAGTCACCATTTTTAAGTTTTAGTCATGATCTTTACAGCAGTGCGAGTGCTTCCTAGCTATGAGAGAATTTAAAATCAGAGTAGGAAGGTAATGCCAAATGCTATGTACACATGTCCACATAATTCAGAAGGCCATGTCCACCCTTATTTCCATTCTTAACTTGTAAAAAGGGGAAATACAGACTAGCAAAACATTATAAAAACACTCTGAAGGTTTTGTACAATTTTGTCTAAGCTGAAGCTGAACCAACAACTCCAAGGTTAAAAGGGAAAACTTTACAGCTCGGCTTTCCAGCCCACTCAATGCAGCTCTGCTCGATCCCGCCGGTGCTTAATGGGGTACACGAGAAAGCTGCACTGCAAAGCGACAAACTGGAGGCACAGCGAGCAGGAGCGGACAAACACCGTTCAGCCCACGCAGCCCCTCACTCCTCTCCCACAGTCACAAGATTTTCATTTCGGCCTTCTGGGCAAGGTCCCCAGGAGCAACACTACGCCCACCGCGCCGAAGCTGGAATTCATCTTTTCCAGAAGCTGGACACGCCTCAGCCCAGGCCCTCGCGGCCGCACAACGTCTGCGGAAACCGAGCCAGTCGCGACCGGCGCAGCCGGCACGGGCGCTGCCCCACGATCGCCGCCGCACCGGAGAGGAGGCCGGGCAGAGCCCATCTCCGGCGCGGCGCCGGCGGGAGGCCCGGGGAGGGAGGCCCCGCGGGCTGCCGAGCTGCGGGCGCGGTGCCGGTGCCGTCACGCCGGGCCGGGCCCCGAGCGGCGCCGCTCCCCGCGGCCCCGGGCCCCGCGCGCCGTCCGGGAGGAGCCGGGGCGCGCGGCGGTACCTGGCTACGGCCCGGGGGGTCCCGCGCTGCGCTCGCGCCCCGCCGTCCCGCGCTGGCCCCTCTCACGCCGCCGCGTGCGCCCGGCCTCTGCCGCCTTACTGCGCAGGTGCAGAGACGCCGCGGAGAGAGGGGCCGCGCTCCCCTCGAGCGCCCCCTGGCGGCGGGCGGCCGGAGCTGCGGCCTCAGCCAATCGCGTCTCCGCCTGTCGGCCCCGGGGGACACGTGACCACAAGCGGCGCCGCGCGGGCATCCGGGTTCGGTCCCCCGCGCGCGGGCACCGCCTCGCGCGGGGGCGGGGCCGAGTCACGTGACGGCGGCGGCGACAGCCGGTCCGGGCCCCGGCGGTGACAGCGGCGAGAGCCCGAGCCGGCCCCGCCGGTGACAGCGGCGACAGCCCGAGCCGGCCCCGCCGCAGCCATGTCGGCCAAGGACCGCATCGAGATCTTCCCCTCGCGGATGTGAGTGTCCGCCGTGACGGGTCGGGATAGCGCCGAGGGGGGAGCGCGGGGCTCCGTGCCGTGCCCGAGGAGGCGGGAGCAGCGGGAGCGGCCGCTCTCGGGCGCTCAGGGCTTCTCATCGGGGCTCGGCCCTCCGAGTCGTTCCGCCGGTTGTGCTGCGCCGTCGAGCGGGGCTCCCCCGGTTCTGTGGCGGAGCCGCTGAGGGCCGCTGATCCTAAACTTCACATTCTGCTTCCAGGCTCCACATCCGCTCTGTCCGTCCTCACAGGGCCGTGGCAGGGCCCCCGGCACCGAGATGCCGGGTGTGATGTTTAAAATCAAGTGATTACGCAAACCTTACTTAAAAAAGAATAATTTTTAGAGTGTACGTGTAGGAAAAATGGACAAACGGAACCACAGCTTCCCCTAACTTTGCAACAGAGGGTACTGCTTCGTGAGAGGTTGGCCATAGAGCGTTAAAAGAAGGAAGTAAATTGTTTCCAATGTAGTGGACAGTCAGGTAATTTTCCAGCTCCAGACAGCAAACTATTTGTCATGAAATCAGATGTCTCCTGAGAAGGCTTAGAAAGCTGCCAACATTGGAACTAACACAAACAATTGAATAAATTGCTGTTTTAATAACACTGTTTAGTTTGTCTTTGGAACCCTCCAGGACAGACAAGACTTTGCTTAAGGTGAAAGGCTGTTTTAAATCTTCTTGCATAAAACTGGGTTGCCTGCACATAATCTTTATAATAAAAAGGATGCCTTGAAGGACAGAAAACCTCAAATATAAAATAATAATTATTCACTCTGTATGAGCTCAAGACATATAAAGTAACAGTTTATATGGAAAGATTAATACATTACATGGTAAATGTTCTGTTTTGAAATTTAGTTTGGAAATAAACTATTGCATACACAGTAATGAATTGCTGCAGACACTAAGTCATCTGGTCTCACTCCTGCTCTTTGGTAGTGCTTTTTTCGGTTCAGTTTAGGTGTGCAAGGAGAGGGCACTTCAATCACTTTTGAAAGGTATCTGGTTTTGTGAGGTGATGTGTCACTGTGGTGTGAGGGTGGTCAAGTACAATGTTCACAAGGCTATTTTCAAACAAGGTGACAGACAATAATGTGGGTGCTGTTCCCAAAGGAATGTAAGTTAGAATGGCAAAATAAAGATGTCCTGTGTCTGCAACAATTAATTTTCTTAACTGACAGAAGAGGATTTCACAAGGTTTACTTTTTATGTTGGTTTGGGGGTTTTTTTGTTGTTATAAAGTGGCTTGCTGGTATCAGTCTCTTCTGTGCTGGAAATCTTCAATTCCAGAAGCTGCTCGGTTTCCTTGAGAGTAAACAAGACTTTGTTTATTGCACTCTCAGAGCCAGTGAGATCTTGCTTGAACTAGAAGGCCAGCCAGCCTCTGGCAGGTGGTGAACAGAGCAGACAAGTCAGTCCAAGGTGATGACAGGCACCTGCTTGTTGGGAAAGTAAAGTTGCCTTTTTACTCTCTGATTTTTTTTAAAATCATAAACATTCATAAAGTATTCATGGTTTTCAGTTATACATATTTGGTAGATGTTAATGGAGCTATTCTCATCACATGTCAGTTGATGTGGCCAGTAATGGATTCCACTGTGTAGATAGAATCTTAATTATACTTACTTTTTCCAAGGTCAGAGAGGAAGTGTGTAAGAACTTGGCTTAAGTGGTGTCCTTTGTGCACAGTGGCTGCATGTAGAAAGTAGTACAGTTCCTAATTTCATACAAGAAACCTGTAAGTGTGCTACTGGATGTAAAGGTGAAAGCTACAACTAACTCACTAATATCCCGTTTAAATTGTTGTTGCTTTTGATTGTCTTCGATAGCTTGTAAATCTCCCATGCAGCATATGAAGCTAAGGGAAACCAGAATGTACAACTGCTGCATCTTCTTTCTCTGTAAAATCAGAACATGGCATCAACTGTTATGATCTCATGAAGAATTTGCTTTGTCTGATTTTGAGAAGATGACATGGCAGTAAAAGAACTGAAAAGCAATACCAGTGTCACAGTGACAGCAGATATTTGGAGTAGCTTGATTTCTGGTACTTCTAAGTCATGAAGAAAAATGAAAACTCTTATTTCCTATTATAGAAGCACTGAAAGATGTCTTGTCAATTTTCCTTGAGCTTTGATTTCACAGATAATAACCTTGTAGTTTTCATTGGTGATGGAGATAAATATAAATTCCCTTGATTTTAAATTGGAATCTAAAATTCTGTCCTGAAGTGTCCATCTTGTTTTACTGCAATGGTGTTTCATGGTTGCTTCATCATTTCAGTCATATGCACATCAGAAAACGTCACAAAAGTTTTTTCCTAATCCCTTCAGATGATGCAGGATGTTTTTTCTTTATTCCTCTGCTTACCAGGGCTCAGACCATCATGAAGGCTCGTTTGAAAGGAGCCCAAACAGGTCGTAACCTCCTGAAGAAAAAATCTGATGCTTTGACGCTTCGATTCAGGCAGATCCTTAAGAAAATTATTGAGGTAGGTAAATTGGAATTTTCCTTTGTTTGGCTCACTTTACTGTTCTGTCTGTTGTGCATTCCTGTTCTCCTAACTTCATTAGATAAGGCTGGAATATAGGATGACTTTCTGGCTAACCTGTTTTTTGTAAGTGAGACTACTGAGCAGAATTCTGGTTTTTTGGCTGCAATGATACAGAAACTTGGAAGAGTTAATATTCTTCACCTCTTTCCAGAGAGTCTTAGCCTCTGCTTTCTCTTGTGTCCCAAGTTCCCTATCATGATGCTGCCAAATACTTTAGGATTGGTGTTAAAATGTTCTGTAGTCCCATTTTTATTGCTTTATCTGGCTTGAGGGGATACTGCACATCTATAATGTTTCCTGCATGACTAGGTACACTAGCAAGCAGAAGTTCTGTTCAGATGGGACTTGTTCCTTGAGGAAGAAACAGAGAGTCCCGCTTCTTCCTTTGTAACAAGGATGACAAATCTGAGATAGTCAGTAGTGCCTACTATGTGTTGTTCTGCTCTGCCGTATCAGACAGATTTAGTTGTACTGTTTTAGTTGCAGCTGCTGCAGTGTCCATGGTTAGCAGTGGTCCTTTGTTGCCACGCTGTAGACAAGCTCTCATCATCTGTCATTGCTTCCTGTACATTGTCTAACACACACAGGCTGGTGTTTCTCAATAGTTTTTAGCTACAAGGGCTACAAAGCTGTAAAAATTGGGAAAAAACAGAGTGGGAGGAGAGTGCAGCTTCACAAAGCTGTAAACATTTGTATGTTGAAAACCAACTTCAGCTGTCTCATAGTATTCCATACAATGTGAAACAAATATTTTCCTACTAAGCCACTTTATTGTTATTTAACCCCCATGTAATAGAATTTCATGATTAAGACAGATCTTTTGCTTTTTCTGTGAGTTCTACAGTGTGAAACAGCTGAATTTTTTTTTTGCCAGTCACCTGAGAATTACAATTTCCAGTTTGAGAGTAAGCTATGCATATAGGACTTTCTCACTCTCTTCAATTTCTTCTCCTTATGCTGCTAGTTATTTATCCTGGAAAAGGAGTAACAATGTGCCTTGTATTTGCTGCCTTTTTTTTTTTGTTAACAGACTAAGATGCTGATGGGTGAGGTGATGAGAGAAGCTGCCTTTTCACTTGCTGAGGCAAAGTTCACAGCAGGAGATTTCAGGTGAGGATTGCTGGGCTTCCATGAGCATATCCTACCTATGGGAAAGAGCTTATTTTTTTAAGCATATCCTACCTATGGGAAAGAGCTTATTTTTAAACAAATTATTATTTTCTCTTTTGGAAAAAAAGGTAAATTCTTAAAGGCACCTAAAAAAAGATGACAGTGGAGGGGATGAACGAAATTCTGTTATGTAAAGGCAGGAGAGAGAGAGCTTGCATGATGAAAACTCTGTTGGAAGCTAAACCAAGTGGAAACATTACCAAAATTTTTTGTCCTTGGTTTGAGAAGGTGTTGC